AAGTAGCACTACTTCCGCTACTGTGCTTTAGTTTTGTCCTCTTGTTCCCTGCGTACCTTCATAGGGACATCCTCAGCAATAGACCCAGCTGTCTATTCCAGTCTAGTCTGCGCTCTAGCTTCTCAATCAGTTTGCGCCTCTCAAACCTCTATCAGCATAGAGGCTCAGTCTACCACGTCTAGTATCAAAGTACAGCACGGCAGCCTTACTTGCACTAGTGTCAGTACAAGTTCTCAGTTGAACTCCTGATCCTCAGTCAACAGGTCCCTTAACACCATCCTTCTAGTAATAGATCGGCAAAAATACCATCTATCATAGCTTGGAAAGTTGCCAGAGAGTTTGTCATTCTGAAGAACATGACTGTTGGTTTGAATAAGCCTTGTGGAGTAATGAATGCTCCCTTCCATTCATCCCCTTCTTTGATGTGCACATTATTGTATCCTGCATGTAAATCAAGTTTGGTGAATATTATTGGCTTGGCAGAGGCAATACAATCCAATAGATCTTCTACTCTTGAAATGGGGTAGGCATTCTTAATGGTGGTGTCATTGAGTTTCCTGTAGTCCTGGCATGGTTGTAGATCTCCTGATTTCTTGTTGACAAAGAAGAATGGAGATGCCATAGGAGACTTTGATGGACGGATATAACCTTTCTGCAAGTTTTCCTCAATGAAGGCATCTAACTCTTTGAGTTTTGCTGGTGATAACAGGTAAACCTTTTCTTGTTGAGGTTTGAAGTTGGCTTCTAAATTGATTGCATGGTCCCAGGGTTTCCATTCTGGTAATCTTTCCATTGTGCTTTTGTTGAATACAGAGAGGAAGGCTTCTAGGTATTTTGGGATATTACTAGCAAGGGTCTTGATTGCTCGTAGAAGTTGATTCCAACAAAAGTGCATATTCCCAGTGACCCAATCAATTACTGGGTTAAAACATTTGAACCAAGAGAGACCTAAAATGATTGGATTCCTATCAAGTACTGTGGTGTAAGCTTCTATCCTCATTGGTTGTCCAGATAAGGATATAGTGAAGAAGACTTTGTGTTTGATGGCCGTGGCTTTATTTGGTGATCCATCAACATTAAACACTGGTCTGGGTGTGATACTCTGGTGCTGGAGGTTGTGTTCTCGAGCAAACTGTATGTCAATGTAATTCTCCATTGTTCCTGTGTCAAGCAATGCTTTGGTGGTGATGGTTTTAGCGTAGGTTTTTAATATGCAGGGCAAATAAATAGATTTATGAGCTAATTTCACCTGATATAAATAATCATTAACACCATTACTTCAATTCAATGTCACAGCAATCGAAGATTTCAAAAATCCTTCTCAGAAGATATAGCCTGGATGTATTCTTCGGCTATTCCTTCCTCATCAGAGGAATCCTTGGTTTCATTCTTCTCCTGAGTGGATGAGTCGTGGGATTCAATTGCCCTGATGCAATTGTTTGGGCATTGATGGCTTTGATGCCTGGGTTTGTGACATCTGAAACATAACTTCTTATCCATGTGCTTCTTGTGATCTTTATCTGACTGATGTCTGATGTGTTGATCATTAGATGATACTTCCTTTGATGATCCATCCCTGGTTTCAACTGCTTGATTGCAACGTACAAATTTGTTGTGACCAAAGGAGCAATTGGTGGAGGGCATGAATAGGGGTTTATCACTGAAGATGTTGATCATAGATTGACAGATGGATTGGATGCCATTGAGGTATCCTACCACTGTGACTGGCAATAGTGGCTGGGCAGCAATCTCGATCAGGAGGGCAGGGGGAATGAGATGCTGGAGTTCTCAAATTTGCCCTAATTTGTTTAATCCGCTGGCCTGTAAGAGGGGTTGAAGAGTTGTTACAAAGCGGAGGCTGTTTCCTCCACACTTTACCCAGGTACACTTGCTGATCTCATTTAATGCTGCCTGAGTGTCATCTTCTACTCTGAAGGTTTGGATGAAGGATTTCCTGAAATTAGCCCAACTAGGCAATCCTTTGAGCGGGGCATCTTCAGAATCAGATATGGGTTCCTCTGCATCATTGATGATGGTGTGGACAAAGAATTGAGCAGGTCCTTTGATATATGAGAGAGCACATTAAACCTTATCTTTGTCAGTCTGGATCTTCTTGGTATTTCCAGCAAAGTACAGGTATAATTCGTCCAGGAATTCCTTGCTTTTTCCTTTGTCTCCTTCAAACTGGTTGGGTTTGTTTACCGCTCCACTGTTGTTATCTGATATATCTCCTTCTTCTTCCTGATCGCTGGGTTCTGAATCACCATCTTCTGGGTTGTTTGGGTGTTGGTCAGAAGGACCTTCTTCCGGATTGGAATTGACTGGAGATTTAGGTGGTTCTGATTTGGGTTCCATAGGAACTGGATGCTGTTCCTCGACTGGGATGGGTGAGTGGACTGGTTCAGGTGAGTCAAAACTTCCTGAGAGGAAACTAGGTCTGGCTGTAGGACTAGTGTCTGTTGATTCACTCAGCAAGGGTTTGGTGGTTAACTGGAGTGGCGATGTGTGTGGTGTAGGAGCTACTACAGTTCTGCTGGATGACGCTGCAGTAGGAGTGAGGTATAATGGTACTGGGGAAGGCTTTTCCGCTAGTGGGGATACTACTGAGTGGCGATCTTCTTTACTTCCAATAGGAGCTAGAAGTGCTGTTAGGGTAGGGATAGTCTTATCTCTTTTCCTGTTTGGACACACTGAATTGGTGCAATACCGCCAAGAAGATCCATTATTCCACTGGTCAGTCCTTTTGCTTCTGTTGTAGGTGTGGGTTTTATTGAAGGAAAGGAGCTGTCTTGCTTGGGACCTGGTTACTGCGGGTTGTCCTGCTGCTGTAGCCACTGTGGCTTGCTGC